TGGTGGATCAGAAGCTGTTCTTGTTCGGCTCTCAGATAGTTGTCCAACTGCAAGATTACCACCACTGCTGTCTTTCACTACTAGTTCGGGTTTAGCACTATCATCTGATGATAGGTGGGCTACACGCTGATCAATTACACTGACTGTCTCACAAGTATGCACACCTTCTGGAACTGCATCTGCGTTCAATTCTACTTCACGTTGTAGTTGTACAGAACCTTTATTTAACTTAGCAGTAGTAGGCATATCCCTCATCTCATCATGATCAACCAAAGACAAATCTGCACTATCATGATCATTATCACGAATATTCACTTTACCGTCAACTTCATCATTTTCAAACTCTTTAATAACAGAAGTAGACAATTTTGGTTCCTCCTCGCAAATCATTAAAGGTTTTATAACTTCACTCTGACTAGTAATACCTTGTAAACTTGTAGGGTCAGAACTGCACTCTGAAGCAGCAACTCTATTCTGTGACACTCTATTCAACAACGGCTTACCAGTTGCAACTACAGACTTCTTCACCGCACCGTTATCGTCACACAATTCGGAGTCAGGTCTGGAGTTTACATTTAGCTTATCACTGAACTTGCTCACCGGTTCACAGTTCACTTCTGTATGCACCTCTTGCACACGTGTAAAACACAACCGTGTTTGTCTTGCATCTTGTAACTTATCTGTTGAGGATGTACTACGAAACCTGTTACACTCACTAGGTCTATATGCATTACTAGACATCATGGAGCCTTCTCGATATCCACCTCTCTGAGGCCTACTCGTCATCAATGATTGCATTTTACCCTCAGACTGCTCTATTCTAGGGGTGAGATCTAATAGACTGGAAAACTTGCTCATAGATTGATTGACACTATCTTTTACCAGTTTCAGGATATCATCAAACTTTGGCTCGATACCCTCATCCTCCATACGGGAGCTCATCTTCACCCACTTCCTTTGCAGTCGAGTAGGTAGACGTCTTGCTATTACTTCTAGTATAAAACTCGAGTTGAGGTCACTCATGCGATTCATCGAAATCATTCCATTCTTGTAAATTAGCAAATTATCTAAAAACTCAGTGAGTGCCTGGGAGTCATCCTGTAATTGACCACCATTACCCTTAACAGCCTCGAATAATTTCCCTGCAATCATCGAAGGTCTTCCAAACCTTTGACGTAATATGCTCATAGCCTCGTAGTAGCCCTCTTTTGGCTTCATAAACTTACAGCACTGTATAGCTCTTGCAGCATCTCCAGTGCAATATCTCATCAAATACATTAACTTCAATTCATCATTTAATAAAAAACTACTCAACATGATCTCAAACTCCTTTACAAATTGTAAATAATCAGCCGGGTTTCCATCAAAACACCGTGGTTCAAATTTAGGGAGTTTGATGTTCCTATTATCCCTGAACGGCGAAACAGTAACATCAACCATGTCATGCTTAACATCAGACACATCGTTACAATTAACAGACAAGTCACCATGACTTACTTTCCTGTTTGCATCCAAGACACTCTGTCCCTTCTTTGACCCAGGCATTGTTGAACTTGACCCAATTCCAAAAACGTTCCAGATATTGCTTGTTCAAAGAGGACTTGACCGGCACCAGGAAAGATGAACGGCGACTATCCAAACTTTCACCAACTGTTTGAATCCGCCAGATCTGTTTCTATCGTCAGAAACTGTCAATCACGTCTCATAAACCGTTAATGCCCAGCTCTCGCTACGCTCGGGCCCACGCTGTTCCTTGAAGTTTCTCAGAAACGCTTAGTTATAACGGACGCAAAAACCAAAACACCGATCTGCCGCTTGTTATTTGTTTATTGTTACACCAACATATAAAAGGAATAAGCGAACTAAGGTCTGAAAACAAATATTACAATAATAAATCATAAGATTACTTCTGACGATGTTTCACTCTTCTTTCTGAACAGCGACCGATGAGACGATGACTGTCGTATTGATGCCTCCGCGAAAATTGGGGAAGTTGATTTTGAGCAAACAACCAAGAATTGATCGTTCAATCTTCAACTCCATTGACAAACTGTGATCATACCGGAATCTTTATGTTGTGAGATGTGACCCAAAAATTGTTAATAGCATGTCGTGCAATGACGTGATTTCATGAAACCATGTTGATAAGGAGTGATTAGTTTCTCTTGGGAGAGGAATTCAAAAATGGTACTTTTCACAATCTTTCCCAGAAGCTTTGAAAGCAAGGAAGTTATGTGAATGGGTCTGTAACTCATGACACTTGAACTGGAGTCTGACTTTTACCTAGGGTTAATGTGGGTGGCTTTCCATGCATCTGGATATGTCCCAATTGACAGAAAGGTCGAGAACACTTTAAGGAAAAGAATGGGGATGTCCTGACAGACATATTTTAAAAAAGGTGAGGGGATCGTATCACTACCAGGATTGTTTGAACTTTTAAGAAAAGCGACTGCCTCCTTGATATCATCTAAAGAAAAGCCGATAATTTCTAAAGCCTTTTGTGAACGTAGGGGAGATAGAGGTTGTAGCGACGTAGGTATAGGACTGTGAGAAGTAGGAGCTTGGAAGCTCAAAAATTATTTTAGTCTCACTGACAGTCTTACCATTTTCTTAAATGAATGGTATATTCGTTTAATGAGTTTTTAGTCATTTTAGATAAAACTCACAGATTGCAGTGTATTTAGGGCTATCTTTAAGAGCTGCGTCTTCTTGTCCGGGTAGGACTTCGTCATTATTTTCTCTTAATCTGGGATAAATGTTCTGTATGTTCACAAGACAGGAGAAGTCGTTTTCTCTGTGGTACTATCGGTGAGGCTTTCGCGGCTTAGCCATCACCTTTCTGGGAATGAAATTCTTTATTTTTTGGCTTGAGTTCTCTTTACATTTAGGAAGAAATTTATCATAGCACATGGAAACATGCTGGTAAAAGGCCAGTAGGATAGTGTCTAGTTTGCTACTAGAAAAGAACGGGTCCCAGTCTAAGCTTCGACTGAAGGAGTTAGATATGTCCCACCTAGCTTTTCTGAAGCACATGAATGTTTTGCGCATGGTAGAGCGTTTTATTGAGTGAAGCTTGGTATTGAGAGAGCAGATTGTGGTGTTATGGTCACTACCTGGAAATGGTTGACTGATGTCTATGGTAGATAGGGCGGCCAGTCAGGAAGATAATCACCAGTATAGTGGGTGTGAATCTGCTGCGATGTGATGGAAAACTTGATCACAAGCAGGCTGGATTCTGAAAAACCGATCCATCTGCGGATCACATTACATCGTCAGACATCACCCAAGAAAGCTTAAAATCTATCTCAACTATTTACTTGAAGTACGCTGATTTTGGGAAATCTTCGGATACGATCAAATTTGGGATAGTTTGACCATTACATCGACACTAGGCAAATAATTGTAAATTCGATCAGTACCTATACCGTCATACTACATAAAGAGCAGTTCACAACAGGAATCTCACTGAAGCGAGGACAGGAGTAAGACAGGGACGCCTGCCATCACCGATGACCTCTCTATTTGTGGTGGATCAGATTATGAGTTAGACACTGTGGATTGAGAGGACGACCATAGGTTGGACCAGCAAAGCGTAACTGCGGCCCTGGATTTTTCGGACGGTATCTCCCACAATCAGTTAGAAGATACAACGAAGTCAACAGAACAGGCAGTGAGAACAGGATTCAGGAGGATGTTGAGAAGATCCGGGTTATGCAGATTCACGAGGATTAACAAACAACACTAATCAGCATCCTGGAAACTGTCAAAGGGATCTCACCCGATCACCTGGGTAGTATCATTTCCACAACAGACACTGCTGACGAGGACATTGAAGTGAGTGAGAAAGGGATGTGGGAGGCTGATTGAGAATCCACCACTCTGATATCAGTAGGGAAACTAAGGTGCAATATCCGAATTCCTAACAGTAATGTCAAGTTTATGCATTTGTGCTTTCCAGACACCTAATAATCGCGTTACTTAATGATTTCTGACAGCTAGCTTGAGACTTACATCAAGAGCTGCCTTTGCTATGTATTGAGGATCAAATAACCTTCCAGGAAGGATAAACGACGAGGAACTGTAGAGACCAGTGGGTAAGTAAACAAGTTGTCATTCAACCAAAAAATATTTAGCGGGAAATGAAGATGGGTTTGACATGTGCTAAAGTGATTATTAAGCGATATCACGCGTCGGGCCCTCAGATGCAACCCGGTTGGGAAGCGCAGAGTTAGGCATCTGAGGGTGATATGGGGATTAAGTGAAGAATAAATCGGGGCATTTCGGTAGTCGGTGGGGCAGTGGTTAAGACTCTTGCCAACCATGCACATGGTCCGGGGTTCGATCCCCTGCCGACGCCCACCCGATATCTACAGTCGGCCTGCAAAATTTAGGCTACTGATATCACATGCTGAAAATTCCATACTAGTACTGAAAATACGATGTGGCATCAAGCTGTAATAAAATATGAAATTATGACAAACCAGTACAGTGGAGGGGTACCTGTGAACACCTAGGTCCCACTCTCACCTCCAAGTAGGAACGAAAGAAGCTAATATTAGTGTCACGAGGAACAAACGGGGTTTCGCAACAGAAGACCCAATAACATCGGCCAATCATGTTGAGAAATCTGTACATACTTGTAAGATACTGGTAATGCTGTCGATAAGTTACATTTCACCAGCACTTAACGTAATTTATCTATGTACCCAATGATCGAAAACTGCACTAGACCCTTAAGTACTGATGACAGAACACAAATTAAAAATGCTTGGTTACTAGGGAAATGTGCTTTGGTGCGCATTATATACATATATAAATATGTTAAATGTAAAGATTATCCAAGGAAGGTGTAGAAATTATCTAAAGAATATGGCTGTGTTAAAGTCTCAACGAATGTGCCTGTTGACAGCACAACGGTAAAGAGCAAATTGGCGTTGGGAGGAGTTCGTATATGCACACTTTAAAACAAGATCGTAAAACATTGGAAATTGCGCTAAACACTCACCAGCGCCATTTACAAACGAATTTCTACACTGCCTCTCACATATCGTCAGTCATGTCTGACAGAAAGGCTGAGTTAGAGAGAAAAAAGGCTAAACTTTTGGCTTTGCGCGAAGAAAAGAAGAAAAGGGAGGAGAGCAAAAAACCTGATATAGATGCAATCGATAAACATCAAACAGCAGACGATTTGTTGAAAGGTCTCGGCTTACCTGCTATGCCATCTTCATCAAGCTTGAATTTACGCGAATTGGAGTCACCGTCTAGTACCATAAGTGATGGCCTTCCGTTAGTAAATTTTTGTATAAATGTCTATTTGTCGTTGCACAGATGCATGTTATAGGTGTAAATTCTAAAAGAAATAACTGCAGTCATTTCATGGTGTAATTTCCTAATGTTAAATATTTTTTCTCAGTTTGATCTTATATTTTTTATTTGCACATTGCATGTAAGCATGATAGTAGCTAAATGAAATTGCTAATGTAGAACTTATCACTATACCGATAATGCTGAATTAAATCTCACTAGTTCTGAAATAATTCTAACATTCTGTAGTGAGTAAATCCTGAATGTGTTCTGAAATGGATTGTTTATTGGCACAAACTAGAAATCAGTGCTGGTCTTCAGCATGACTGGCACTAATTCAGCACCATGTACCTTTTTCTAGGCATTTTCAGGAGTAGATCAGAACCTTCTGGGTTTGCTTATCAGCGTTGTTCCAGTCCTTACAGGACCTATTGAGCACGACTAGCGTTATTTCAGATAAAATCTTCATTTACCATAAAAAGGTGTTATCGAAGAATAGGTTAGAATAAGTGTAGAATTACTGGCAATAGTAAGCGATGCAATGTTTCTCCCTCTTATGATGTTAACGCTCTTAATCAGTCTTTATACGCTCTCCTTCTAATTTAATTACTTCTAATGTTAGAAATCATGCAACTCATAGCTTTCATGATTTTAACACCCTTGATGTTCTCAAATGTCATAAAACTCTTAAGCCCTCACGCAGCCTTGACCTTGATGGTGTACCTGCTTATGTTCTAAAACAATGCGCTTACTTATTAACATCCTAAATGCTTCTTTCTCCAAAAACGTTGTACCTGTTGCATGGAAAGACATTAAAATAGTCCCTGTCCCTAAATCTGGAAATAGCAAGAACGTAAAGTTCAGACCCATCGCCATCACTTCCCCGTTTCTAAAGCTGATGGAAAAACGAGTGCTTAAGATTGAACCCTCCCTTAAAAGTTTTGAAGACCACAAACAATTTGCATATAGACAAAGTAGGAGCACTTTAGACGCTGCAGCCGTCTTACACAACAGTATCGTCTCATCATTAGATAAAGGTGCCAAATACGTTCGCTGCACGTTTCTCGACTTCACTTCTGCCTTTGACTCTGTACATAGATGTCTCTTGCTAAATAAGCTCTCGATGACACAAACTGGTTGCATTCCTATTTCTCCAACAGAATGCAGTATACCGTGTACAAAGGCAAATCTTCCTCTGCTGTGCTCACTGGAGTTGGTGTCCCCCAAGGTGCTGTACTCTCCCCACTTCTCTTTTCTTTCTTTCTATATGACTTACCATCTTTAAATGACAGTTAAATATGCTGACGACCTGACTGTATCTTTGCCTGTCAAATGTCAAAGTGACTGCCCCAAACTAAATGGTTTTTTATCATAAATCAGCCAGTGGTCCAAGAAAACGGTTTTACTTTAGACCCCTCTAAATGTCAAACAGTCAATTTCACGTTTAGGCATAAATTTGACTGACCTAAACAAACTGGTTAGCACTCACGACGTGTGCAACATAGATGACATTGAAATAGAGACCAAGTCGGAAATTAAATACTCAGGCATCATTCTATCTGCTGATCTCTCCTGGTCGTCTCATATCTTGATGATTCCTAAGAAAATATTCCGTCTTACCTTCTACATCAGGAAGTTAAGACATTCTGGAATAACCCAACCTTTACTCTTACGATTTGTTAACTCTTGCATCGCGCCTATTATTCTCTATTGTTCCCCCTTAGTTTTCCCAGGGCTGGCTACTGAAGGATGACTATACCTTATTACGTAGGATGTTAAAGGTTGTCAACAGGGTAAGCAATGTTCCACTTAGCCAGCTTGTTAATATTCCGATTGACGAGCACTCGGACTCATGTGTAAAATGGACTAAATCCATTTTATCTAACTCACACCACCACCCTCTTCATTCAAAACCCTCCGTTTGTATCTCATCAGGCAGGACCAAAAGCGTATATAGAAAACTATATGCTCGCACTAGTAAGTGCAAAAACTCAACCATACCCTCCCTACTTGGCTCGTGTTCTGTGCAATAAAGGAAGCATTAGGTGTGAAACTTATAACTTCTTAAATAATCAGTAGAACAATTGGATCTCGTCTTTCCAACTCATATCGTTTATAGGTACAACGTTTCCTTTCTTTCTTTTCCTTTTCTCTTTTTTTCCTTTTTTGTTGTGCTCTTTTTGTTTCTCTCTTCCTTACTAACTCTATTAAAAGATTCTTCGTTCTCTCACACTCTCTATATCTCGACCTTTTTGTTACCACTTACACCAGCAAATATGCTAGTATCTACTTTTCTAACACCTTCAAACAACATTTAGTTCACTTTTGGCTTTGCTACCGATATGTTGTTGTCAAAATGAACTTAGACTACCCATAATCTATGTACAATTTTCTTTATTGTTAATGTACAAACTGGATGCGCATTACTGTAGTGAAATGGTGAGAATTCCATTATGTATCACAAGTACTGTTTTAGAATAAAGCAAAGTATTATTTTTATTATTATTGTCGTAAGCTTGGGTATATACTTACTTTACTTTACTTCGGCTATCTCCTACGGGAGGATGAGCCGGCTTCATGAACGTCTCGAATCATCGCTGCCCAGGCGCGGCAATTTGTAAGAGAGTTCATCAAGTTTCATGGGAATTAGGTACGAGTGATGTCCCCACCATCGCTCGGCCTTTTGTTTGAGAGTGCAGCTCTAGCCTTTACACAGCCAAGTGTGACCTACAAGGCAGTAGGAGTGGAGTAAGGAGTCCACTATCCATTGGCAGCCGGTGACCGGAGTTCGGTTCATACGCCTTTTTGAATGGGGCCAGACATCCAGGACATCTTGGGTATATAGACTTGAAATCATACACTGAGCACATCTGTATTCTGTGAAAGAAAATTAACAGGAGTAATTCAGTCAAATGAAAGGATGACGATGATGAATTAATGATTAATAAAGACCACAAGAAGTTGGTGTATCAGCGACAAAAGGAAAGATTTAGTGTCATGACACCAAAAGTCTCAAACTACAGTTGACTCATACAAACTGAGTAACACAAAGTAGTCAGTCTTCGACTCTATGCGTGGCTACATCTCAATCATTAAGAGTGACGGAGTGAATTACTGCACAGTTTTTACACTTTGGTTAATAGCTAGACATTACATCTGCGCCGAAATTGATGCAAGTTAACGCCTGTCACTCAGACGAGTTTTTATGTGCTGAAATTTAGTCAGCAATATGTCTATATGGGTTGTTGCTGCTTCCTAAATATGTGGAGTACTGATCACGCAACTTGCCAATTCACTCCTAATCTCTAAATAAGGAGCTTGTGCAGACCTGTCCCGCAGCAGTATCTCTTATTTGTCGGGATCTGGTTGCATCCCAAACCACGTGTTTTTTGTCAAGGTGTTCAAAGGACTACATCTTTCTAGAGTTATCTAAAGGACCTTGACACAATAAGACTTTTGTGTAGTAGCAGGTCAAACTTTACAACAGCGACACACCTTAAACTGACAATTTTCCCCGTGTAACATTTCAGTCTGTAAGTCGCCGGAATCGCTGACAGTCAACCCCATCAGTACATTGTTAATTAAATTGAATGAGAGTAAATATAGTAAGCCTGCCTGAACTCGATTGGTCAGTTATTTCTGATGCAGCGCCACAATTTCAAATACAGTGCTTTAATTGGCTTAATATAATCCCCCAGCCCTCCCTTTGCTGGGCGGATATGGCCACAGCACCTCTTGATGGGTGGATTCTTATTTATTTTGTTTCCGGGCCAACAAAAGTAAAAGTGTGTGTGGGATCTCATTAACCTTAATTCCGTTTTAGAACCAGTTGATGGGTGAATATGTGGTTGGTACATCATTTTATGAGTTGTCATGAGCACTACTCCTCATGTCTTTGGAAATTAGAATCTAAGGATATATTTTAGGCACACTGACTGAACACTATTGTTGAGGAGCGCAATGCTAGCTGAAATAAGAATCATTATGGATAAGATTTTATTTTGATAAATCACAGTGTTGTACAGTAATATTAACTAGTGACTACGTTTCGAGCACAATCTGTCTGTCTGTTTTCGACATAGAACTTTGCACCGATGTGCACCAGTTCAAGTCGCCACACTCCATGTAGCACACAAAGCAAGAGAAGATAGTAGGAGAAATGCATAATGGAGACAGTAGACAGGGGTATGAGACAAAAAGAATAGTAATATCAAAGAACAATATAGTTTCATTGGGTGTTATAGGTTACAAGGAGTGGATGCATCTGCGCCAGCCAACCATTGAGAACGATGAGTTTGAGTCATATCACCAATTGTTTCCAGCCTTCATTAGTTTTTACCGTCCCGAGGACCCCAACCAGTCAGGAAGCCAGTCTACACCTTCCTACGTGGCTGGCTGGCTTAAACTAACTGTTGTGGATTTCATTGACTGGTGAAGCCATGTTTCGGTTTGACCGCTGCTGGCTCTTTTTCAGCCTGACCAATCCCATGTCAGCCAGCTAACATTGCCCATTGTCGTGGAAGGCGACGACAAGGCATGCATACGTAACACATGTCCTAACCATCTCAGTCGATGTAATTCCATGGTCTCGTTGATTGATTTCCCCTCCTTACCTAGCACTCGACCGATGTCTCACCTCAATATTGCTCACCTTATTGCACCACTTCACACGGGAGATAGAACGCAGGCACATATGATCAAAGACAACTAGCCGGCCTTTTCATGTCTTCCACTCTCAATGGCCAGGTCCGGCCATAGCTAGCCATAAAGCAGGATGGAGCGGACTGACGAGCAGTATACTCGCCTTTTGGCCGATAGCCATCCGGATATCACGTCTACGCACACAAAACCTCTCTAATCCTACGCCATAGACAGGACATAAAATTGACGTTAACAGACCTTTTAAAGGCCTATCTATAAAAGCGTGTTTGGGGGCGGGGAGAACGTATCCTAAAGTTTGTGGAAGCTAGCCCTAGCTGGCAGTTAGGTTTAAAGTTTAAACCACCTTTATGTGTTCAAAGCACCAATTCGTCATCACACTAAACCTACCTTCCTTCCTTGTTGGTGGTAAACTTTGTTTGTTTTGATCGTCACCAGCCAGTCAGGGTAGATGTACTATGTTATTTGGTTTAGTCATTCGTCTTCATTGTTATTTTCACCTTCAATATGTCCTCCTTTTAACTTGACCTAAGAAGTCAAGTCTATTTTCTCACCCACCAGCCTCTTACTCCTCTTTATTATTTCCATATATTTCTATGACAAGTCCGTGTGTGTGATGGATCAGATTGTTCAAAATGTGTGTTTCGCGCAAATATGCACACTACATACACGATTCAGATAAATTACGTCTTCTTATTGCTTTATCTAAATTCATAAAGGGAACTAGTTGTTTTAAATTATTGTTCCTTAAAGATGGGTTCACAAGATTTGCATTTTTGAGTTTAGTTTGACTTACATCTGAGTGGTGTGCTGTGGTGTGGTGTAGCGACTTGTACTACTAATACTACTACCACTACTCTAGTCTGTGTGTGTAGTGCTTGATTGTTTGTCTGTTTATCTTTCAGCTCATTTTACTATTATGTTATTATTACCTTTAATTCCTAGAGGAATATAGGACTTCAGCCGCACACGTCTCCATTGCGTTCGGTTCTCTACCAGAGTTTTCATCTGACTACAAGTTACCCCACATGGTTGCATCATCTCCTCTTCACATGACCGCCTCCTCCATGTTACCCTCACCCTTGGACGACCAACTCGCTGCTTCCCATTCGGTCGCGTTCCACTCGAGCAATAGCTTGTCTAGTGATGTCACTCACTTGATGGTTTGTTTTCTCAGAGGATGGCCACAATCCAATCTACCTCCATTTCTCCTGATTATTTGTTGCACAGTCGGTTCCTGCTGGGTTGGTTCGCTCATTATCGAAGATCCCTCGTTGTTGCTGATCTTTTCCAGTCGACCATCTGATCTTGAGTGGTATTGAGCAAATACACTTAGCTGTTGATGAGGGTCTGTAGTTTGTTTGAGGTGCTCTTTATGACGCACTGGTCAGGTCTCTGATCCGTATGATGAGTAGCACTGACTGACTTCACATTGGAGTTGAAAATTCGGATCTTATTTCCTTTTTCATGTTGATTAGTGGTGTTGGCCTTCATACAGACTTTGAGAGTAATGAAAGCTTGTTTTGCTTTCCCGATCTTCGCTGCTTTGATATCCTCGTCAGTTCCCTTTCAGCTCATAGTGTAGTAAATTTCAGCCTTATACAAGAGAGAGTGTAACTGACTCCACTAACACGATTTTACGCTTCTGTTTTTCTTTTTTCAGTCGTGTTCCAAAAAAACGAAAGAATCTACAAACTTCGGAAATTTTTGAAGTTGTCATAACATCGGAAGTAATAGCTTACGACAAGGAAACACAAACACTGGAAGAACCTGAGGAGCGAGAAAGTAAGTAGCTATCATACTAGGTGTATAATGTATTATTTTTTTACAACCTAAATACGCATCTTTTTTCATGTTTAAATTGTTTATAGTGATAGTAGTTGCCCTACTAGGATAGACCAAGCTACGTAGTTTGATTTTTTAATTCTCATTGTTTTGGGCAAAATATTGTCGACTGGTAGGATACGAAAGTGTCTGGTATGCTGGTACAGATAATCACTTCAATTGTACAAATCTCGATTTATCTCAATTAATTCGTCTTCATTTTTTGATGTGGTTGTATTCCCTGAGCTAACTGGATAGTTAATTTGCGAAGCTTTCATCGCCCTAGTACTAGGCAGGCAACATCTTCCTTCAGCGAATACTTCAATTTCAGTTGAAGTGAGCTATTAGATTTCTCTACGAGTTCACCAGATAATCATCTCTCCTGGTTGGTCGGTGGGTGACCTTGCCTTGAACGTGACTGGTTGTTTTAGTGTGTTTTCACATACCCTGTAGTAGGCGGCTACTTGTATTGGAACTGCTTGTTTCTTTGACTTGAAGTTTGACCCTTTCTGTGTGTGTGATTTTCTCCTTATCAGTTGGTAAATTTAGTCTATCTCGATGTGTCTATTGATTGGTGGTGATTCACTGAAATATCAGGGAAGCTTCTAAAAATCCTCTGGCTAGCATTCTTGGTGTTGTTTCCTCTGTCTAATATTTGGACCTTTGTTGTTGTTGTCCCAATCGAGTTGATGTCCGTGGTTGCCTGTAGGTAGGTAGTGATATGAGTGATGGAGTGGATATCATGTCTTTTGACGGCTAGCTTATGTTCGTGGATGCGAAGACAAAGAGCAGGGACGTCCACTTTGTCCAATGTAGTGGTTTCTGGCAGTTGATACAATTTATTTTGTAGATGCAGATGTTGGTTTTAACTTCTTCGCATTGTTGAGTCTGTCTTTTGGTTGACTTATAACCAGCTGAGTGAAGTGATTTTGTTGGTTTGTGTACGACGTCAATTCCTTATCAAGGTTTGAAGAGTCTTGTATTGATTTCTGAGATGTATTTTATATATGGTAAGGCGATTTCCTTTGTGGTTTCCTTGAGAGCTTTTGGTTTATAGGTTGGTTTGGGGGTATATGTCTTTTGATGAAGTTCCGTGGATATCCATTCTTCTGGAAGACGTTCATCAGATATTTTCTTCAATTTTCCTTAAGGTGGTGTAATGAGTCGTGGCTGACCCTCTTGAATAGTGTTTGCATACAACTCCTTTTGTGTGTTATTGGATTGTTGCTGTTGTAATTCAGGAATTGGTCTGTGTGAGTTGATTTTCTATGAACTTGAGTTTCTAATTCCTCTGCGGTTCTTCGCTTGACTAAGATGTCATCGACGTAGCGTATCCAAATCTTGGGTTTGATATTTGGTAGGATTATGTTTTCGAGCCTTCGCATCACTGCTTCTGCAATCATACCTGATAGTGACAATCCATCCCATGGGTGTTCCTTTGACTTGTTCATATATTTGGCCGTTGAATTGGAAGTACGTTGTTAGGCATAGGTTTATGCATTCCATCTAGCTTGTAGTTGTATGCTGCATTTTTGATTGTTGTCCGAAGGGGTGTTCGTCGTTGCTGAGTAATTGCTCCATGGTCTCTTTTGCTAGTTTCTATGAATTAAGTTTTGGTGTTAGTTATTATTACAGGCTCATCTATATTCTCAATTTTCACATTTCATGTTGTTTTTAAGTTTTTCTTAATCCCTGTTTACACTACCATATTTTCATACCCGAACTTCGTGTTTATTTTGTCATTTTACTATTTCTGCATATTTAATCCCTGATTGCATAAACAATTATTCATCACATTAGTTTCTTTTATCCAAACATCCTGTCTATTTTGTTATTTCTACATTTCTCACTCCCAATTGCACAATATCAATTTTCTTAGCTATCATGATGCTACTTTGTTTATTTCATCCATCCCCCTGTTTATTATGGAATTTTAATTTTAATAAATTTGACCCTTAACCGGAAATTATTCTGAAACTTTCCCATCCATTTAATATAAATACACGAATGTACAGCCTAGATTGATGACTTCGTCGAAAAGAAAATTTTCTTCCTCGCTGCAACTGTCTTCTTAATAACTCCTATGATCCAATGTGTATATTCCGTGATTTTGAATACACTAGTGAATCTGCCTTATGTGATGCCTCATTGTGATGCCATTACTGGTGTTTTCTATCACTTATTGTTCAGTTGGTGTGATTTATTCATAAACACGTAACTTCATCATAGATGTACTAATGGACTTAACCCTAAGTGACTTCAGCAACTCAGGGATTGACTTGCTCCCAGGGAATAACCTCGTTGACTTAGAATATGCAGACGATATAGTCCTTCTAGGCGAAGACGCTGACAAAATGCAGAGTCTTCTAAACACCTTGAGCTGCAATCTTCGGATGTTTGGCATGCGATTCGCTCCCGCCAAATGCAAGAAGATGTTACAGACTGGACTGCAGCAACTCCTAGATTAGAAATAGGGAGTGAAGTGGTAGAGCACGTTGACCGCTTCACTTATTTGGGAAGTATCATCATCCAACGCCAACGGGTTGATCTCAGAGGAAATCTCAGCTGAAAACGGATACAGAGGGCTAGTTTCTCATTTGCCAGTTTACGCCGTACAGTTTGATGATAAATTCGTTGTTGAAAAGAGTCACTTCGCTGATTGGATCATTTGTTTTGATGTTCTTAGATGCAACCTACAACTGCGGAAATTTTTGTTTTTTGTTCACTTTTCTGATACTTAATGGCAATTTAGGAATTTTCACATATTTGGTTGTGATAAATCAGACTGTTGTAGAAGTTAATAGGAATCAGGGGAAAAAGTGAGCTCCTGTGTTTTTATTAACTTTCAGATATCAATGTTTCGAAGTCCATTCTCATTATTAATAATATTTATTATTTGCCCTTCACAATTATCATTCTCTTTTTTTCTGAGCTCTCATCTTGTCTACCAAACAAAACGAAGATTCTAAGTAAAATTCATTCACTAATCTTAATTTCTCAAACAACGGCGTCCACATATTTGGATATCACTTCCGTTAGGCTGTTTAGAGACAACTGCTATCTTGCCGTGGTGGTCGGGCTTGAATACCGCACCACAGTGACCTAACAAGCTAAACTGGCTGGGACGCATGTTCCTGTAGGTCCTACCATGTCAGGAAAGTTGTTTGGATAGAGGTTAGACGAAAAGCAGTTACCATGGGGTTTATGGGCTCCAGAATCCAATCGGATTAAATGACGTATGAACCCGTATTGGTCACCAGCAACCATGGGAATGCAGCTCCTGACGCCGCCCCACTGCCTTGGGGATTAGACTCCTAGTCAAAGGCTCGGGGGGGTGGTCCCTTAATAAAACCACCTGCTTCGGTCTGGGCGCTCGGGCAGTATCTCAGCCCTCACACAAGTGTGGCGCATCTTGGTGCCATATTGTGCCAAGTATTTTCTGCGTTTAAATAAATAGTATACATAATGTTTGTTTTGTGCTAAGTCGCATAAATGCGCATACGTTAACTAACGAATGTTTTTTTCTATTATTAAGAAACTGACATTTAGTTGTGACATAGCTGTTTTAAAACTTTCTCTATCCTGTGATTTCTTAATCAAAATACCCACTACAGTCCTACAGGAGGTCAATCGCGAGCCAACCCGAATAGCTGGCTCAGTGATACGTCTCTGACTGCAGGTGGCACTGGGTGACGCGGGTTCGATCTCCTCAGAAGAGGGGGACATGAGCAGCTGTTCCTTCAGTGTGGTTGCAGACACGCCTTGCTTGCTGAGTGACTGACTGACTGATGAGTGCCAACTAGCACGAAACCTAGATTGAGCAGGGCTTCCTCTGGTCGATTACCTCCAACTGTCTAATATCACCATACACTTCTACATGCTGAAAAATCTTAGAAAATTCACAAGACCTAAAAACCATACTGGCAGATACATTCGTTGTATTTGGAGACTGCATATCTTTGTCGTAGTATATTCCTCCTTGCAAATTGTCCTGCCTACAAAGCGCGCTTGTACTGTGATCTATTTTGCCTTGCCAAAAAATCAATTTGATTGAGGGCAATGAAATCCAAATAGTGGTGGTTTCTCAGTCAGTATTTTATTATTATTATTATTATTATTATTTAAACCCAGACAAAACTTGGTACAATATGGCACCAAGAAAGATGCGCCACAAAATAATAATAAAACAACATAGATCAACAGTAAAAAAGAATATAAGTAGAGAACGGATAAAGAATTTCATCTGGAAGGAAAACAGTCATACTACTTAAAAGTTCAAACAGTATTCGTTAACTATCATCGAGAAGGGAAGAAAGAAAGAAATTGCAGCACGTTCGCCATTGATGACTGCGATTTTGGCCATATCCGATAACGTTTCGAACCATCGATTTGAGCTATCTCGCGGACACCAACCAATGCTAATCTAGCACAAACATCCTTCGTCCCACGACTCCATGTCATGGACTGAACACCTCTCCACCTTTTCCATCGCGTCCCAGGGCTAGCAAACAGAAACCTGTACAGAAGCCTCTGGGATGACATTCGCAGCACATGTCCAAGCTGCAGGAGCCGGTGTTTCCAGATGACGACAACACTCAATGAATGGTGATCTCCGCTGTGTTCAAACAGTGGCCGCCGAACCTCACGTGATGATGCCATCCATCGAACGCAAGTAATCCTGCGGAGACAGCGATGATTGAACACGCGGAGTAGCCGCACATCCTCAGCCCACTCGGAGAGTCCAGGTTTCACAGGCGTAGAGGAAGACAGCGAGGACCAAAGCATTGTATACCCGACCTTTGTCAGCCAGACTAACGTCGCGACGGTGCCAGAGGTGGCTGAAGTTGACGTATGCCACCCTAGCCTTCATTATCATACGGTTGGAAATCTCATCCGTCACCCCTCCGACACCAGCACTCATACACCTAACCAGATACACAAGCTTATCAACAACTTCAGGCGAGTGATTGCAAGTACAGGCTCCTGTCAATCTTGTAACAGTGTGGTGAGAGCTGACTGTTAGCCAAAATTGGTGGACAGTAATGTTTAACGTCAATATTTATGTTCCCAATATTGATCGTGAGAAAAATGAGAACAAAGACTTTGCGTAGGCGGATACAGTTAACATGATGATTTCCTAAGTAAAAGCTCTGTTTGGCTGACTCTTGTCTTCTGTCTTTACAATCATAGTCCAGTTACTTAGTGTTGGATAGATGAAAGAAAAGAGAGAAAAAACTCAATGCTCCTGGATATATATTCGTTAGTCGTATTTTTATTTCAGATTCTTGGTCAATTTCTACGGTGTGTATGTGTGAGATGTCCAGCAGCAAAAAGCGCAGCACGTTGGTTTCACGTCCCATTCCGTCCAGTCCAGTCCACTTCAGTCAGTTCCCATTAGACTAAAATAACCCGCATTTGTCGTTTTGCAATGCCAAGGTGTTGTTATCCACTAGATTACACTCTGACCCAGAAGTTATTGTTGTTGTTGTTGTTTAACAGAGTTAGAAACTACGGGGTGTTACCTTCACAATGGCTTTTATTTATTTTTAAGTCTAGTACGATAATGCGCTAAACACTTGTCAGAAATTCCCCTGAAATGTAAAGTTCTAGTGCTGCACAACTCAATTTCATCAGAATTAATAAATGCTGAGAAGTATAGAGTTCCATTATTATTATTAACTTGGGCGTGCATTCATTCACAACTGTGGTGTATTCCAAGTTCAAAGTCTACTCGATCGATCAATCTATCTGTTCTGTTCTGTGATGATGATGAAGTCTGTTGATAACAGAGAAACTGTCACAATAATGCCCCACTGAATATCTATCTGTCTGGATTCAACATAGAATTTGACACCGAAGTGCACCAGTTCGAGTTGCCACGTTCCAAATACCACACAAAGGTAGACAAGAGGATGAGTGGAGAGAATCAATAGAGTTTGACAAGTATAAGAGTGAAACAGAATGGGTAATGGTAGAAAGAAATATGAAAGATTACAGAGACTGAATACATCTGCGCTTGCCATTGACAACGATTTTGAGCCATGTCACCTATTGTCTCCAGCCATTGATTTCTAGAGTCAGTTCCGAGGGCCCCAACCCGGAAGTCTGCATCTCCCTACCTGACTCAGTTTAACTGTCAAGGATTTCATGGATTGACACCATGTTTTTGTTTGGCCATCACTTTTTTCCAACCTGTACCTATATCAGCTAGTAATGCCCGTCGAGGGAGGTGATGGTTAGGCATGCGCAGCACGTAACCTAGCCATCTCAATCTATGTAACTTTATAGCCTCGTCGATTGATTTTCCCTCTTTGCCCAACACTCTACGCCTAACGTTAACATTACTTACCTAGTTATACCACCTAACATGACAAAGAGATCGCAGACATCTACGATCAAAAACAGTCAACCTTTTCATGCCTTCAACTCATATTGGCCATGTTTCAGAGCCATAGAGGAGGACGGAGCGAACTGCTAAGCAGTACACACGTCCCTTGGTTGGCTGACTGAGTGACTGACTGGTTACACCAATGTGAAGCAGTTCGAGCCGCCACACTTCACTTAGCACACAAAGCAAGAGAAGAAAGTAAAAGAAGTGCAAAACAGAGACAATAAGCAGAGATATGAGGGAAAAGAATAGTAATATCGAAAGACAACATAGTTTTATTGGATATCATAAGTCACACTTGTTTCACTTAGATGTCAACTGTCCCCCTACTTGTGAGTTTATATGTGTCAGGAAGCTAGAGATATGTTCTGTTTTTAACACCGTGAAAGTGTCATCCACATATCTCCACCATATTTTTGGAGTAGGGTTAAACGTATTAGGAGCACTACTTTCCCAATAAATTGTGCTCGAAACGTGGTCGTCAGTAAACATTACTGTATAACAGCGCTGTGAGACTTTATCAAAACAAAAGTTACCCATAATGGAATTACACTCTACCACAGTGCACAAGTTTTATTCTTACTCAGTGTTTTTTGTTTTTGTTTTTTTAATTATCTTTTATCTCTCTTCGGATGTCGATTATATTTTGTTTTTAATGTGTATGTGTGTGTGTTATCTATCTGTCTCCTGTTAAAAATTGAATTTTATTTGCATTGAATTTGATTAGCAGCAGATCGTTCAACTGACTATTATGGTAAGTTTTTCCAAAAAACTCCTTTGAAAACAAAACGCCTCTTAGTTTTTGTGGACAACCACTTGTGTCGTCTAACGCTTATTTATTTATTTTATTTTATTGTTTGCAAATTGATAAATTCACTTGGTTGGTATGCATTATTAATTAATTAATTAGGTGAACAATAATATACTTTGATGTGATTGTGTTGTCTCTGAGCTATTTGGATAGTTAATTTGCGAAGCTTTCATCGCCCTAGTACTAGGCAGGCAACATCTTCCTTCAGCGACTACTTCAATTTCAGTTGAAGTGAGCTATTAGATTTCTCTACGAGTTCACCAGATAATCATCTCTCCTGGTTGGTCGGTGGGTGACCTTGCCTTGAACGTGACTGGTTGTTTTAGTGTGTTTTCACATACCCTGTAGTAGGCGGCTACTTGTATTGGAACTGCTTGTTTCTTTGACTTGAAGTTTGACCCTTTCTGTGTGTGTGTGTGTGTGATGTTTTCTTCTTATCAGTTGGTAAATTTAGTCTATCTCGATGTGTCTATTGATTGGTGGTGATTCACTGAAATATCAGGGAAGCTTCTAAAAATCCTCTGGCTAGCATTCTTGGTGTTGTTTCCTCTGTCTAATATTTGGACCTTTGTTGTTGTTGTCCCAATCGAGTTGATGTCCGTGGTTGCCTGTAGGTAGGTAGTGATATGAGTGATGGAGTGGATATCATGTCTTTTGACGGCTAGCTTATGTTCGTGGATGCGAAGACAAAGAGCAGGGACGTCCACTTTGTCCAATGTAGTGGTTTCTGGCAGTTGATACAATTTATTTTGTAGATGCAGATGTTGGTTTTAACTTCTTCGCATTGTTGAGTCTGTCTTTTGGTTGACTTATAACCAGCTGAGTGAAGTGATTTTGTTGGTTTGTGTACGACGTCAATTCCTTATCAAGGTTTGAAGAGTCTTGTATTGATTTCTGAGATGTATTTTATATATGGTAAGGCGATTTCCTTTGTGGTTTCCGTGAGGGCTTTTGGTTTATAGGTTGGTTTGGGGGTATATGTCTTTTGATGAAGTTCCGTGGATATCCATTCTTCTTGAAGAAGTCCGTGGGATATCTTTCTTCAATTTTCCTTAAGGTAGTGTAATGAGTCGTGGCTGGCCCTCTTGAACAGTGTTTGTATGCAATAATATATAAAATTTCTGTCCGTCTGTCTGTTTTCGACATAGAACTTTACACAAATGTGCGGAAGTTCAAGTCGCCACACTCCGTGTAGCACGCGAAGCAAGAGAAGAAAGTACAAGAAAAGCATAATAGAAACAGTGAGCAGAGGTGTGAGACAAAGGAGTAATAAAGAAAAACAAAATAGTTTCATTGGATATCATAAGTCACAAGGAGTGGATGCATCTGCGCCACTGAGAACGATTTTGAGCCATGTCACCAATTGTTTCCAACCATAGATTTTTACCGTCCCGAGGACCCCAACCAGCCAGTCAGGAAGTCTACACCTTCCTACGTGGCTTAGACCAACTGTTGTGGATTTCATTGACTGGTGCCAAGTTTTTGTTTGACCGCCGCTAGCTTTTTTCCAGCCTGACCCTATATCCGCTAACATTGCTCGTCGAGGGAGGCGATGGCTTGGCATACGTAACACATGTCCTAACCATCTCAGTCTTTGTAACTTCACGACTTCGTCGGTTGATTTCCCCTGTTTACCTAGAACTCTACGCCTAACCTCAATGTTGCTCACCTTATTATGCCACTTTACACGGGAAATAGAGCGCAGGCACCTATGATCAAAGACAGCTAGTCTTTTCATGTCTTCCACTCTGAGGTTTTGCATGATATAACATATAGCATAAAACTTTTGCTTTTTGCCGATAGTCTATCAGAATTGCTGCTGACAATTTTTATGCGTGTGTTTGTGTGTGTATATGCACGTGTGTTTACACTGACATATTTTTGCTAATTTTTAAGTTTTACATGCATGCTTGTGTCTCTGTAAATATGCATATATATAGTGTCTTGCATATTGTTATTTATATATATTATTATTATTATTATTTCCTTTAATTCCTAGAGGAACATAAGGTTTCTTCAGCCGTTCACGTCCATATTGCTTGTTTAGTGATGTCACTCACTTGATGGTTTGTTTTTCCAGAGTATGGCCAGCCAATCCAATCCACCTAACTCCATTTCTTCCTGGATATATTTGTTGCACAATCTGATCCTACTGTGTTGGTTGGTTCGCTCATTGCCAGAGATCCCTCCCTATTGCTGATCTTGAGCAGAATTAAGGGAAGACAGCTAGGTGTTCATGAAGGTGTGTAGTTTGTTTGAGGTGCTCTTCATGACGAGCTGGCCAAGTCTCTGAACTGTATGGTGAGTAGCACTGACTGACTTCACATTGGAGTTGAAAATCCGGATCGTGTTTACATTTTCATGCTGAGTGATGTTGACCTCCACACAGACTTGAGAGTAATGAAAGCTTGTCTTGCTTTCCCGATGTAGTTGAAACGATGTATCTCAGGTAGGTAGGTTGGTCAAGGAGGTTGTTTCTTTCAAGTTCCTCCCATTTATGCTGGCTGATTGTTGTCTGTTGTTGCTGCTGTTGGTGTTGACCGGGAATCTTCATCACCTCTGTTTTCTCTATGTTCATCTGAACTCCCTCCTATATTTGATGCTTGTTCTACCAACTTGCTGCTGCTTTTCACTTGCATATCCTTCAGTTTGTGGGATATATACCACATACCAGACATATATACCACATCAACGAAGTCCAGATCATCCAAGTTCTTGTTCCGTGAGGGTCCATTTTATGTCTGTTTCCTCATTTCCCACTGTCTGTCGTATTATCCAATCTACCGAAATCAGGAAAATCATTGGCGATAGTAGGCAGCCATCCAGCTTGTCTTACTCCCGTCTTCACTTCTTCGAAGGATTCCGTTGTGGATTACTTGGCATGCAGCATTGCTGTACAACTATCTGTTGGATGAGGTGTATAATTGTCGGCGGGACCCCTTGGTGGTAGTAGCGAAGTAGTTTTCAAATCACCTCTCGGTCGACGCTGGGCTATCGAAGGCCTTTTCAAAGTCGATGAAGTTCAGTGAGGTAAAGAAGTGACTGACCACCATTCCAAGCTCTGTTCAACGATGATCCGTAGTGTGGCTATTTGATCAATACATGACTTGTTTCTCCTGAATTCAGCCTGTTCCGGTCGAAGTTTTTCATCCAGGTTGACTTGTTTGATTCTCTGCATGATGATACGGTTAAGTATTTTGCTTGAGATGGACAGGAGTATAATTCGGCGCCAGTTCTTGCATTGACTTAAATTTCCTTTCTTTGACAGTTTGAATAAGTAGCCTTTCTTCCAATCCGCATTTACCCTGTCCTCCACACCTTCCACAACTTCTCCAGTAGTGGTGTCATTAAGTCCGCTGTTGTCTTTGCGTCCATTTTCAATGCTTTTGCTGGGATACCATTTATATATATATATATATATATATATATATATATATATATAGTGTCGTGAATGTGCATGTATTAACGAATGAGATTAGCAACACTATGCATATATACGCCTATCATAGTGCTTCTTTTTTGCACATATTATCATGTAACCTTTTCTGTCATTTTAAAATCATTCATATTTTATTTGCAAATATAACTTTGTCTTTTTTTGTTCACGAAACAAAAGTCTGTATAACTAACTAATCGTGTTTGTGAAAGTGTTGATTGACTTGTCAGTGGCACAGTGGTTAGGACTCTCGCTGACCATGCTGATGGTTCACGGTTCGATCCTTTGCCGACGAACACCTGATATCTATGATCGGCCTGCAAAATTTGGGCTACCGATATCACATGCTGAAAATTCCATACCTGTACCAAAAAATACGGCGTGGAATCAAGCTGTAATCAAAAAAAATAAATAAAATTCACTAATCATTATTTTGTATTTCCCAATGAATGAATGAAAAAGAGCAAAACGATATTGTCGTTGCTCTTACTGACTAACGTTTCGCTATTTAATGCTGCTGCTAATAGCTTTGTCAAAGCAGGAGGAAGACTAATAAACCAGAAGAATTTAAAAAATCCATTCAGCATATACATATAACGAAAAGTGGGTGAGAAAATAGACTTGACTCTACTTAGGTCAATTTACCCACTACCACCACAGTGCCTAAGTTTTACACATATATTAATGTAGTTAAAATATTATATTGTCCGCTCTCCTACTTACTATTGGCTTTGCTGACGATTTCATTTATTTGATTAGTTAATGAAAAAGGTCAGGAAGTTCTGTCCAAAAATGGGCCAAGGGGAGAGTCCATAGCAATCCTGTCCTTCTGTCTACAGATGACGTCGTTGAGTGTGTACACCTTAATAACAACTTTCAGCTATGAGGTTGGTATTACTTACTTTACTTTACTTCGGCTATCTCCTACGGGAGGATGAGCCGGCTTCATGAACCATGAAGTTTCATGGGAATTGGGTACGAGTGATGTCCCCAGAATCGCTCGGCCTTTGTTTGAGAGTGCAGCTCTAGCCTTTACACAACCAAGTGTGACCTACAAGGCAGTAGGAGTGGAGTAGGGAGTCCACTATCCATTGTCACCCGGTCACCGGAGTCCGGTTCATTCGCCTTTTTCAATGGGGCCAGTCATCCAGGGAATCCAATAAGCCCTTTGTCCATACGTCTGTCGGTGAGCTCCGGTGAGCTTCATACGCCAGTCGTTGGAGGTTTGGAATCAGGGTCTAGCCATCTCCCCTAGACTGTCATCCAATGGACAGTCAACCCGGTGAAGAGCGCCGGTCATCCGCTTTTGCCCTCTCACTTCGGTGAAAAACACCTCCGCCACGTGAAGGCAGTGAGTAGGACTTCCTCAGGAGGGGCTATGTAAAACGCCCGTTCATGTGGGAGCATTTCAAGAAGTGTACAGAGGGGTGGCCAACCCGCAGCGCAAGACACCCACCCCCGACCATCCTGAGGCTTTGGAGGCTGAGGTTGGTATTCCGAAACTCTG